TCCCTCTCCCAGCCTTCGATGGGGCGCCTTTGGTGCCGGCGCCGGGGGTTAGGAGCTTGGGGGTGCTCCTGGACTCCTCTTTAACGATGGAAGCCCAGGTGGCAGCCACTATCAAGTCAGCCTTCTACCACCTGTGGCTGGCTCAGCAGTTGGCTCCCTACCTTGACCGCGATGACTTGGCCACAGTTATCCACGCAACGGTCACCTCGAGGTTGGACTACTGCAATGCTCTCTACATGGGGCTGCCCTTGTCGCAGATCCGGAAGCTGCAGCTGGTGCAGAATGCAGCAGCCAGGCTGCTGATGGGCCTCTCTAGGCGAGACCACGTCCAGCCTGCTCTGAAGGCGCTGCACTGGCTGCCAAAAGCGTACCGGGTCCGCTTCAAAGTGCTGGTTCTTACCTATAAAGCCCTATATGGCCAGGGTCCAGCCTACCTAAGGGACCGTCTTTCCCCATATGTTTCCCCAAGAGCACTACGGTCGGGGGCAAAACAACTTTTGGCTGCCCCAGCCCCTAGAGATGTCAAATATGCTGCGACTAGGACCAGGGCTTTTTCGGTGGCGGCTCCTATCTGGTGGAATGAGCTCCCGGAGGAGATCAGGGCCCTGCGGGACCTTATGCAGTTCCGCAGGGCCTGCAAGACGGAGCTCTTCCGCCAGGCTTTTGAGTAGGAGCCGCTGCCACCACTATTCCATCACCGCGCTGGAGAACGGAAATAGCGCAGATCAATTAAGAGGAGACAGTAGAACCTCTGAACATTGTATGGGAGACTCGGTCTGGAACGATATTGCGCGAGCACCAATTTTAAATGTTAAAACGTAAACGTACTTGACTGTTTTATTTGGTTTTTGTGGCTATGTATGGCAATTTGCCTCTTGTTAGCCGCCCTGAGGCCATGGGAAAGGGCGGGATAGAAGTCAAATAAATAAATAAATAATTCAACTTATGTATGTGCGCTATGATTTACAAATGTATTGTTTGATCGTCAATTAAGTTTATAAAATTCTAGGGAAAAAATCCCAGTCTGATTTGTTGTTGTTCAGTCGCACAGTCGAGTCCGACTCTTCGCGAGCCCGTGGACCAGCTCCCGCCAGGCCCTCCTGTCTTCCGCCGTCCTCTGAAGTCGGCTCAACTTCATGTTCGTTGCATCGATGACACTGTCCAACCATCTCATCCTTTGCCGTCCCCGTCTTCTTTGACCTTCAGTCTTTCCCAGCATCAGGGTCTTCTTATCCAGTGAGGGCTCCCTTCTCATTGGGTGGCCAAAGTATTTGAGCTTCAGTTTCATTATCTGGCCTTCCAGGGAACAGTCAGGGTTGATTTCTTTTAGGATGGACTGATTTGATCTCCTTGCAGTCCAAGGGACTCTCAAGAGTCTGATACTCTACCTAACAGCCTTGAGGTCTCCCAGAATTATAACTCATCTCCAGACAACATAGATCAGCTCCCCTGGAGAAAATGGCTTCTATGGGAGGTGGACTCTACGGCATTCTACCCCGCTGAATCCCCTCCCCTCCCAAACCTCGCCTTCCCCAGGTTCCACCCCCCAAATCTCCAGGTTATTTCCTAGCCTGAAGTTGGCCACTCAGCACTACGTAAGTTAGGACTTGGGAGGTTTCAAACTCCCTGCCCTTGGCCCTGTGATGCAAACCAAAGCTTCAGCCAGGAGCCACCTTTCCCACTAGCCACTATTCCTGTGCTCTCCCCCACCACACCCCTGATCACCAGAAATCTGTGGGTGACTCAGTTTTTCGTCCAGCTTTAAACTATGGATTTCGGCAGACCAAGGCCCTGGCAAAGACATAGGAACAGGCTAGGAACCCGGGAGGGACGGATGAAGCCAGAAGCCGGTTACCTGTCTGCAGGGGTCCTTTCGTAGAAAAAGAGATGCAGGAGCTCATTAGCATAGCTCATTAGCATAACTTATTTGCATATGGCACGCCCCCTGATATCACCGGAAGCGTGTCAGAAGGCAGCACACACACACACCCGCTCAGGCTCCACTGGACTGTTTTGGATTGCTAGCTATGGGGGGGGGGGAAATGGGAAGATTTGCCCTCGCAGAGGAGGGAGAGAAGAGAAGAGAAGAGATTGGATTTATACCCCGCCCTTCACTACCCAAAGGTGTCTCAGAGTGGTTTCCAAACTCATTTCCCTTCCCCTCCCCACAACAGACACCCTATGAGGTAGGTGGGGCTGAGAGAGCTCTTGACAGAAACTGCTCTTTTTCAGGAACAGCTCTTGTCAGAACCACGGCTTGCCCAAGGTCATCCAGCCAGGTGCAAGTGGAGGAGTGGGGAATCAAACCCGGTTCTCCCAGATTAGAGTCCGCGCACTTAACCACGACACCAAACTGTATCTAGCAACTGTATCTTGGCCAGGCCTGGCAATCTTAGTAGAGTAATTCATCTGGTTAATTCTGATAACCAGGGCTTTTTTTTAAAGGGGTGTGTGTGTGCCAGAACTCTCATGAGGCTGGGAGCAGGGGGAGGGGCTTGTTGCATGTGCCCGCCCCCTGGGCTTTTTACTGCCGGAGCTCCGCTCCTGTGCGCTCCGGCAGGAAATGAGCCCTGCCTGTCTGTAGGCTAAGGACAGCAGACAGGGTTATCACTCAGAATGCCAGCCTCCAGGTGGGACCCGGGGTTCCCCTGGGATTACAGCCCATCTCCAGGCTACAAAGATCAGTGTGCCTGGAGAAAATGGGTGCTTTGGGCTCTGACCTGGATAGGTGTCAGAATCCACAGCTAACAACGAAGTACACGCATTCAGGAACGGTTATACTTTTATTGCAAAGCTATAGATGCAGTAACACAGGCACTGTTAGGAATGGCCCCAGCCAGTAGAGCCTAATAGGATATCGGGTATTCGTATGCACCCCCCCAGGGCATTGGCCAATTAGGGACCCTCCCGCACGCGGGATAAGTCAGGCAACCGTTAGGTGGCTAACGCTGAGAGCCAGGAGTCTCTCCCGGTACATAGGAGCCCTCCAGACAACACAACCTCCTCCTGCACATCTGTAGAGATAAGCGTTACAGCAAAGGCAGAGCAGCAGGGATAGGAATGCAATAGCAATGAACAAGACACAGAATGAACTCCCCAACCCCCCATGGCAGCATAGCTGACAATAGACCAGGCAAGTCCTATTCCATCAGAACTCGGAAGCGAAGCAGGGTCGACTTGAATGGGAGACCTCCTTGGAATACCAGCAGTCAGGAGGCGGGGGCAGGCTTTATTCAGCCACCTCCCTGAAAACCCTCCAGGCCCCCAGTAGGGGTCAGTCACCAGAGGTCGCCAGGACTTCCAGGTGAACGCACACTCACATGGCACACATACACATGTATGCACATATTGAAGAAGAAGAAGAAGAAGAAGAAGAAGAAGAAGAAGAAGAAGAAGAAGAAGAAGAAGAAGAGGAGGAGGAGGAGGAGGAGGAGGAGGAGATTGGATGTATACCCCGCCCTTCACTACCCGAAGGAGTCTCAGAGTGGCTTAAAGTCTCCTTTCCCTTCCCCTCCCGGTGAGGTCGGTGGGGCTGAGAGAGCTCTTTCGAGGACTGCCCTTGAGAGAACAGCTCCGAGAGAACTTTATGATTGACCCAAAAAGAAAGAAAGAAAAATGGTTGCTTTGGAGGGTGGGCTCTATGGCCTCGTACCCCACCGAGGTCCCTGTCCTCCCCAGGCTCCATCCCCAAATCTCCGGGAGTTTCCCAACCTGGATCTGGCAACCCTAGACCCCCCACCACCAGTGGTCAGTATGGACCTGGCAACCCGATAAATGTCAACTCTGCATTGGGAAATCCCTGGAGATTTGGAGGGCGGAGTCTGGGAAGAGTGGCGTCGGGGGAGGGGAGGGACCCCAACGGGGATGTGGCGCCATGGAACGCGCCCTCGGAGGCAGCCATTTTCTCCAGGGGAACAGATCTCCATCGCCCGGAGATCAATTCTAATTCTGGGAGGACTCCAGCTCCCACCTGGAGATTGGCAGCCCCAAGTGCGGGAACGGAATCTACGGGAGGCAGGCCGGGTGAGCTTGGAGAGAAGAGTGGGAGTCCAGCAGACTAACAAAAACTGTGGCGGCGGGGGCGGGGGGGGGATGAGCTGTTGCGAGTCGCCGCTCGCACCTTCGAGGCGAACGTGGAGTGGGAAGACTCGAGTTCAAATCCCACCCTCAACCACACGGCGTACACAGCGCCTGTCTTCTTCCCAGCCTAACCAACCTCACAGGATAATTGGAGAGGCGGATTGGGGGACAAATCGTTTGCGTGGGGAGGGGGCGCTCCGTGGCCCAGGAGAACCGGGGAAGCCACCGTGACCGCTGACCCATCAGGACTCCCCCCTCCTCCTCCACCACCACCACCTGCATCACTTATCCGTCATCACCTTAGCGTGGTGTAACTTCCACAGGGCCGAGAGGCCCAAAGAAGGCAAAAGGCATGCCCACCGGTGCATCACATGTGAGATCTGGCTTCCTGTGTGCCCGAAAAGGGGAAGTTGGAAGGACAAAGACGTTGACACACGGCACCTCTGCCCAGAGGAGCTCAGGTCTCCGTAAGAAAAGAGGATCCAGCCGGCCTATCCCTCCGCAGGCATCGCAGGCTAAGTTTGCGACACCAAGATGATAGAGCTACCCAAAGCATGTTGGGCATCCCCGAAGGCTTTCGTCCTGGCAGGTGAGTCGGAAGAACCGGTGCCAACTGCAGACCAGAGGTCTTTTTTCTAACTGCCGCATGAAGCAATGCTCCTTCTAAGCTGTGGAGTCTTGTGAGCAAAAATTCTGCTTTGTGCGTGACGAGCATGAAAGCTGTAAGCAGGCAGTTTGGCTGCTGCATCAGTTAGTTTGCTCTGGAGCCGTCCCTTCCTAATACAAAAATGTGTGAGCCGGAGGCTAAGAAACTGTGAGCTGGCTCACACTAACTCAGCTTAGAGGGAACGGGAGCTGCTTCTACCTATATTAACTTTGTCCCCCCCCCCCTTTCCTCTCTGGACATAGCCATAACCACACATTTAAAACCCGCTTAACCTTTAGAGATGCTTCCAGCACAGGGTTGGATGTGGTTTCAAGACTTGAATTCGGTACCCGGTGCCCGAAGCAGTGGCCATCTTGAATTTTCACAGGAATGAATTGCAGGTTATACATTTAAAAAAAAAAAATCTTGAAAGGCAGCCCCGGGGGAGAGACAGCTTTGGTTCAGGATACTGAGAAAATGGCAGGAGAGCGTTAAGTTCTCTTTGCCTGGGTCGATCCAAACCTGAACCCTCCTCTCTGTGGCTTTTTTTAAAAAAATTGGAGGATCTGATCACAGATTGCCCACATAATAAATGTGCTTTTAATTTTTTATATATATACAACTAGGTTTGGGGGGGGGAATCTTTGAAAACGGGCCTACGGGCAGCGATGCAAGTCTGCATCTGTGCTTGGCAGGGGGGAGATGAAGGGTGTGGCTCAGTGGTAAAGACTCTGCTTGGCATGCAGAAGGTCCCAGGTTCAATCCCCAGCATCTCCTTTTGAAAGGACCAGGTGGCGGGTAATATGAAAGACCTCCGCCTGAGACCCTGGAGAGCCATGAAGTGGGACTGTAGCTCAGCGGCAGAGTGTCTGCTTGGCATGCAGGAGGTCCCAGGTTCAATCCCCGGTATCTCCAGTTAAAAGGACCAGGCAGGAGGGGATGGGAAAGACCTCCACCTGAGACCCTGGAGAGCCATGAAGTAGGGCCGTAGCTCAGTGGCAGAGCATCTGCTTGACGTGCAGATGGTCCCAGGTTCAATCTCCAGTCAGAAGGACCAGGCAGGAGGTGATGGGAAAGACCTCATCCTGAGACCCTGGAGAGCGGCTGCCAGTCAGAGTAGGCAATACTGACCTTGATGGTCCAAGAGTCTGATTCAGTATAAGACAGCTGTACACGTTTGTTTATTAGGGAAGGGCTGTGGCTCAGTGGCAGAACATCTGGTTGGCATGCAGAAGGTCCCAGGTTCAATCCCCGGCATCTTCACCTTAAAGGAGGTAGCAGGTGATGTGAAAGGCCTCCACCTGAGAGCCCTGAAGAACAGCCACTGGTCAGAATAGACAAGATTGTCCTCGTGAGACCAAGTGCAGGGCTATTTTTGGGCAGGAACGCACAGGAGCGGAGTTCCGGCCTGCTTCAGAGTTGGCCATGCCCACTACAGCCAAAACGTGCATGGCCACGGAGAGAAGGCCTGGAGAGTGACCCCCCCCGGGCGACTCTGAGGCAGGCGGGCCGGGGGAGGGCTGGAAGGATTGCGGGGCACCCGGGCAAGCC